TCGCATCTTGATTATCCTCAAAAGTGTCATCTAACATACATATAATTCACTCAATTTATTTACAGTTGAAATATCAGTGTTGGGAAAGTTCTTCAGTGAATTGCCACTTTTTTCGGAAACAGGAGATGAAATGAGAAGGCCTGAAACATTAACAATCCACATTATACCCCTTTACATAGATTGTCAACTCAGAGATTTTAACGTCCAGAAAGGATTGTAGAAATAGTGAAGTTCCTGGCCGATAAACGAAGCAAAATTTATGGCCTAATTCAGTATCTCAACAAAGTGGATAAGTAATCAACCACATTTTTTTGCAGTATTGGTCGTTGCGTTAAATTCCTCTCTGTAGTCCATTAACTCCTGCAAAGGTAATTAGTCAAGTAAAGCTTATGTGCAACAGAGATGAGCAACTACTTCTGCAGTTATCTCCATGAAAGGTTCCCTTTGTGCTGCTGGTCTTGACAAACTGTTACAAATATCTACACGCATATCGCATGCTGTAGATGCACCTTCTAATTGCTTCTGACTCTGAAGGAGAAACAGAGATGAGTATATGAATAAGCAGGTAACATATCAATAAGAACGCACCTTTTCAATTCGTGAGAATGAATCCAGCGTTGAAAGTTCATCAAAATGCTGATTAATTCGTCCTTCAGCAGTTCTACGTTCTGTATACAGAATGGGCACGTCCATTATGATAGAGCGACAACCAGCGCGTTGCTTAATAAAGCATATTATTCAGAAAAAAGCGACAGTTTGTAAAAACCAACAAGTATTTGCTTGATATCCACTCCTCGATCTTGAAGTTTCTTCAAATTTGTATCATAGATGTTAATCTGAATGTACGAAGAAACACTGCGTATAAGTGCGCTGTTTACGGATTCTAATGTTCGCCCTGTCATCTCTGCAATTAAAAGTGATTTGATGCCCTTTGCCTTCTTGGTCTATGCGTACAAATATGCAAAAATGGATGTTTTGCTCAAAATAGGTAGCGATGATGAGGATGTGTATGGCATATGTTTCTCGAAAAGCCGTTCCTAAGCTTGTTTTCCATAGTTTCGAAAGGCTTGTGAGAGTTGATGGAATTCAATTCTTGCTGATAGATGCATAATCTGTTGATTACTCCCCAACTTGCCTAAACTTCAGCACGAAAATTTATTACTGATTAGCAGAATTATTATCAAGCATGAGCTCATGCGCGATTGTTCTTAATGCTAGTATTTTCGAGCAATAATGATTTGTTGCGTGGACATTTTTGAGCGAACATAATTTCATAACTTCTCAAGAGCTTTTGATTGTAAGAAAGCCAATAAGTGGAATCCCTCGGCTCGGTAGAACGAACAGTCAACAGGAAGCTGAAAAGCAGAAATTTTCAAAGACATATCAATTCGTTTCAAACAAGTACTAGGAAATAGACAAAAACCAATGAGACCATTTTATTAGGAAAAGAGATAAATGAAAATTATGTAAAGTAGGCCAAGATCGTTAAGGCAACGGTACTATTAGGCACTTTGTTATCTTTTGGGCCGTGTTTGATTGTGTAAAGCATTGGTTGCCACAGACTGGCGCCTAGAAAAACCCCAAAATTAGGTGTGAAACTCTTATGATGAAAATTGGATTAGCATTCTTTTGGAATAATGGTTTTCTGCGCTAACCCTCAAGTGATGAAGGCGGAGATTCATCACTACGATGACAATCTACCCATGCACGGCTCAAAGATAACACTTATGCAAACCATTCTGCGAAGGTATTCAAGACAAAGTCCTGCTAAGATTGAAAAATCGTAATAGATGTTGCACAAAAACAACGTTGTACTACAAGATAAATAAATTTTGTTGCAGTACACTTTAGCCCGATATAGGCAGCATATGGGGATGTTAAAAAAAAATAAGTGCGTGTTGGGACGATAGCTACTAACTTAAATTTAATAATTCGAAATAGAGTAGTGTGAGTAAATAGGTTTTTCATATGAATTCAATTAATCTTAGCATACATTTAAACCTCACAAAATTTGAAGATCCTTGCAAACGTGGTTATTCTCCAGACGATCAGGATACGAACCAGAGATTCTTTCTGTTGACGACAATTACATGAATCAATGATATTGTACCCCTGCAAAATAACAAGTCGCCCATCAACATTTTATAAGCTTGTAAAAATGGGTGGTAAACAATTCTTGCCTTCAGATATAGTTACATTAATTTCAAAAGGGGAAAAGTTGGCATTTACTGTATCAAACGATTTCTTTAAGGGTAATTATTAAACTAACCAGATAGATTTTCTTTGAAAAATTTTGCAAATCCAATAAAATGAGGATACATAGGGTTTTCTCAATATATTAGGTTGTTTAGAATTTCTTGAAAGGTTTATTTCTCAAATCTTTTGTTTGATGACAAATATGTAAAAAAGTTTGCTCGGAATCTCTGTGATTCCCAACAAATGGACGTCAAGAAAATATCTGGATGTAGGACATCACATTACCTATTTGTCGATATATGTAGCAGCAGTAAGAGATTTATTTCTACAAAGCACCAACAATGAATCTCAGAGGTAAAACCAGTAATCTGTATTTAATACTTTATTCTCAACCCAGTGTCGACTTTCACTACAACCATACAGGTGATATTATGGGAGTTAGGTGTTTCTGTGCTGTCGATGGAATGTAACCGATATGATGCAGTATAGAAGTGCGTGTTTGAAGCACAACGTGATTGCCTTCAAACACACCCATCAATCGCAGAAATTGACTGAGGTAAGCAAAAGAATCTAAAGAAGACTAGCTGCTGGTGACGCTTATTGCAACTTGTGACCCACAACAAAATGATCTTGATGGTCTTTGAGCTTAGATGTGACTTACTAGAGACATCTCAAATATGTTCTATATCTGCTGATCGATTCTCAGAGGGAAGTAGTGAAGGCAAGTTTTAACAAAAATTGGAGTGAACAGCATACCGAGCAACTTGAGAATCGACTCATCTCCTCGAATGGCGAAGTGGTCTTTTGCGTTCTAAGACAACTAGCCGTTTTGCGGTCCTAGGTGTCGAATTTTCTGCGTTCCATACAAATGTTCGCATTCAACTCTTATTCCTTACAACAAGAATTAGCGTGGAAGTCTTTTCTTAATCTTCACATTTTTATGCTTCGCAGGGTCCGTTGCACGAGTAAACTTCATCTACTATTCTCGATTCAAGGCATACATCTATCCTGAGCTCTCCCAAGTCGGCTCTGATTCCGTCCATCCCTCATATTTGGCCTTCCACGCTGTCTTTTTCCAACGATCTCCAGAGACAATGCTACTAATGTGGTTCTCATCTCTTCTACTCATATGCCTATCACCGCAGTAGTTTTTTTCTGCATCTTCTTGGCGATTTGAGCAATTTTCATCCTAGCTCAAACTGTGTCATTACAGACATGATCCAGAAAGGTGATCTAAACCTCTACCAGCACTCTTGTCTCCGTGGAAAGCTTGTGTTCTTTATATCGCGTAACTAGCCAACTCTCACTGTCATGCAGCGCTGTTGGACGGATCACAGTACGATATATTCAGGATTTGACTGCGCTGGCATTCGCTTGTCGATGAAACTCCTGTGGAGGTTCTCCCATCCAGAGTGTGTTTGTCGTGACCGATAGTTCATGACAGTCTTCAAGTTCCTTCGCCAATATTGCAACTTCCTAGGTACTTGAAAGTATTCGTCTTCTTGATCGGCTCATCGCTTATGTATATGTTTTCCGAAGTTTGACTTCCCATTTCCCTAATTCCAACCCTATACCTCTCCTTCGTTTTCTATTTTCTGTCATCATCACATCATTTGCATACAGAAGAGCCCATGGAGGCTGTCGCTTTGACCTTCCCATCGCTGCGTCTAAGACTATGGTGAAGAGTAAAGGAGAGGCACCGATTCCGAATGTGCGCCGATCCTTATGATTTTGACCACCCTGCTGCAATTTACACACGGCTCGTGGTTCCTTGGATTATTTTTATGAAGTGAATGTATACTACTGGAACAATGTGCTTTCGCAGTGCCCACTATATAACACCATGAAGTAGCTTGTTGAAAGCCATCTTCATATCCAAAAAAGCTGCATATTTCTTTTTTACTTTTCCATTACTATCCGTTCAGTAGGGATGGCGTCACCAGTACCATCATCTTTCAAAAAATCGCGCTTATTGGATGACATGATCATGGTTGCTCGAAGTGGTGTTTCAAGTACTTTTTCAAAGATTTCCAGAGTGTGCTCAGCAGCCGGATTCCGATATGTTGAACAGTTTGCGATATCGTCTCTAATGTTTCATATCGGAATTGCCCTCTCTGTCTAATAATGAGGCAAGCTCTTAGCTGTGATGACCTTGAAGAGGTCTGCAAGCCAAGAGGCAGCGAGCCGTCCGCTCTTTCCAAAATTCGCTTGGTATGTCATCTGGACTGATAGCCTTGCTTCTTTAACTTTTGATTGCAAGCCATACTCCTCTGCTGTTGCGAGTAGCACTGTACCTTCCACGGGGTCAGGGATAATGGGATAGCTGCTCTAATGCTGGTAGTGGACGACATTTGCAGTATGTTCGCCTTCTTTCAGTTATTTTCTGCGGTTTTCTCAGCGATTCCAAGCTTGTCCTTGACATGGTGGAAGTCTTATGCTCTATATCTTTTGCGGACTCTACTCTAACTTCCTCTATTTGATGTATTTATCGTTCTCCCTCAGTTTCCAATTTCGTACTGCTCTTCTACGTATGCCTGTTTCGTTTTCTTGTCACATTTCTCTTCAGCATGTCCATTTGCAGGTACATCTGTCGATTTTCCAACTCCTACTTATGTATGCTTGGCTCTCTTTATCACCTTTGAACCTCATCCTATCTCAAACTCTTATCTGAACCTAAACCAATAAAGGAAAATGATGCTCGTCGTTTCACCTCCAAGTTTCTTTATCGATACTTTTCCTTCCTGGCTTGATGCGACACAATAAATTTTTTGTTAGCCAATATGTCGTTTCAAAATTGATTATGACTGCTCTGGTTTCTCATATAAGGTCGGTAGAGTACTTAGAAGAGCAACTTTAGCTATAGGATCCTCTTCCAATTTCCACCACTTGATTCGTATTGTTTTAGCCATTAGCTTTCTTTGTCTTTCAACAGGAATTTCCAGGTTCAGCAGTAGTGGTTTATGTTGAAATATGCAGCTTTCACTTGGATGCCTTTGCAATCTATGTTCTTTAGGTTATTGTAACGCACTGCCCAATAGTCAATTTCTGTTCGGCGGCCTCCACTTGTATACGTACTCAGCTGTTCATGCTTTTGGTGTAGTACATGTTGGTAAACTAGGTTGTAAGCTGTAGTAAGCTCAAGAATGCTCCGCCTTCTTCATTGCATGTCCCATCCAAAGTTCCCTTGACACTTTCCTCCACTATATCTTTTTCCCCTACGCGGCAGTTCAGGTTCTTCCTTGCATTCGGCTTGCGGAGCAAAGGCGGTTATAAATCGAAGATTTCTCTCCCACTGCCAATCTTTGTACTCATAAGTCGATCACTTCATGAATCAACTGCGAAAATCTGATTTCGTGGATTTCAACTTATACGTAATCCAATTGCTGTATGTGCCATTGTGGAAAAGTGACCATCTCCACGTGGGATTTTAAATAGTTCCATTTCATATCCTGCATGCAAGTCTCGCATCGCTCCCATGGTGGATGCCCTAGCCTTTA